GATAAGCTTGGGGGCATCGATCAATCAGTACAAGACACCAAGGTGTGTGAAGTTTGCTCCGATCATTGAGCTTTTGAACTCTAGGGTTGTTGATAGTTACTTCAGCCCCAAGTGTCCTAAATGGGCCCCTGGTCACAAGCAATGGGGGAGTAACTAAAGAGGAAACTTTGAGGAAGAAGAGAGACTCTCTATGAAGTAGAAGGTTCTGTTTTTGTAATCAAATGAATATCGGGAAAAGTGATTAATCATTATGTCTGTTTGTTCTAATTTTAATCTTAATTTAATTTTGCTTTACTGTTTTTGTTTTGAAATATGTTTAGCTTAGTCATATGTACATAGCTGGTTTATGTTTCTCTAAGTGACTCTTTTAAGTTTCTCCAGCCTTTTAGAAGTTTCAATCCATTTTATTTCTTACTATTCTTGCAATTAGCTAGGGTTAAGGCTAAAAGGAGAAGCGAATTATTATTAACATATGACATATATATGGGAACTTTACTTGTTCTAGTATTTGCTTCAAAAAGCAAAATTATTAGGAAGCCACAATTTTCTCTGATTGTTATGCGTTTTTAGTAGATTGTACTCCGAGAGATGAACAAGAATCATCAAAATTTCAAGGATCGACAAAGAGTTTATTTTTAGGCTTCAAGGAATATAATTTAGTTGATTAAATAATAGAGAGCATGTAGATCCGACATTTTATGTTTTGTATGTAATATAATAGTGTTATGCATTTTCATACTATACAATTATACAACTCGAGAACAAGTATTTAATCACTAACGTCAGAAGTAGCATAAATAAATAAATAATTCTTGTTGCATTCTAATGGAGTAGTTTAGATATAATATATGAATACACAGATCATCTCGGAAGTAGCAAAAATATGACGAAATTTTGCCAAGTTGTGAAAACATTTGTTCCCTTCCCTGTGTGACCATCAGAGACCACAAAACTGGCCTGAAATCGTTCTTTACGTTTAAGAGACTCACATTTAAGCAAATAAAACAATTCAAAAATTAAAAAGATGGCAAAAATGCTTACAAGTAACAGTTTTTTATTTTTAAATTTTTTTATTTCTGTGCTATGGGAAACAGTCAAACAGACTACTCACAATGGCTTCCGACACATTACTCAGATTTCAGAGAAAGGAGATGTTTTAGTTAGAAATTACTCAATTAGTAGAAACTGACAAATACATAAATAAAACCGATTCTTATATTATTTTCTTAGTATATCCTAATAATTAGCCGCTAGAAAGCATTGTGGGTTCTAACATAACCAAGATCTCCATAAACAATTTACTATTTAATTTTGTGTTTTTTTTTCATGAATGTAGTACAAACTTCTTCCCCAGAAGATATGAAAGTTACTCATGGTTACCTTTGTTCTTGGAATATCATATGAAAGGATACAAGTACATTACGCTATTACGGCCACGACCGGAGAAGTCTTATTCTAGACTTAGATGTGTCTTATGTGTCTATTTCTCTGACTTCCGATTTTTTTTATTTTTTTAATAACATTCATAAATAATTGTATATACTGAAAAGTGTTTTACAGAGGATTGATTAATTTTGAAGGATTAACAAAACAGATTTTAAAAGAGCTAAAATTAAAGGAAACATAGCTATAATCACCAACATAAATACATAATTAAGGAAGGTGGAGATTATAGGCATCTATCTAAATGATTCCAGTTGTTTTAATTTTGTTCTCACCAAAACCTCTTTGGTCTACCATAATATTGAAACTAAATTTTTTCACAATCATTTTCTTGGACGACAAAGAGAATGACAAGAACTTTCAATGATTTGGTAAATACTACAAAATAGAAAAGGAGAAAATTTGAGATGGCACAAAACCGAGTGTCGGGTATTTGCTGGATTTGTCACGTGGCCGTTCCGATAATCGCTCAAATATACTAAACACGTGTGGCTAAAAATTTGTTTTGACTTTTGAGTTTTGACCGACCCCATAAGGTACACCGCACGTGCGCTACATCAAAGCTTTGCTCCCTATATGGGCTTACATGGTAGGCTCGTTATCTTGGCCCAGTAGTACTGTAGAAGTAAAACGACACTGTATGATGTGTTCTGCATTTCAATTTTCCTGTCTCCACTTTTTATTTTATTTTGTCCAGTTTCGATATAATTTTCTGTAAAATAAAAAGCACAGTATTTTCTTATACTTTCTTTATTGAATTCTTGTAATTTTATGTTCTCAAATCAGTGACAAAGTAGTTTTACAAATGGTACTTTGATCGTTTGGTGTCATATGCTAGAGTGAATTTCCTTGCTAACATCAAAATGACAATAAAAAAGATGTATAGTATATGCTTTTAACCCTTTCTTTGGGTCAAACATTCACTTATATTAAAACTTGATGCTACAACACGAGAAATCTAAGATCTCTTTGCCAAAGAATCCACATCCCGAAAATAAAAAAATGATACATAATAGAAATACAAGCGTGGTAAAAAGAAAAAAAAAACTGTTACAATCATTATAGCTAGGTCATGTATGCTTTTACGGTTTTACCAATAACCAAATTAGAAAAAAAGGAGAAAGGTATATGAGCTTATTAGAATAATAAATATGATTAATTTAAGTGTATCTTATGCCCCATCAGGACAATAACATGATAAGTATATAATACTACTGATCAGAACAATATAACTACGAACATGCTCATCATGGGATGTTTCAAATTTGGACAGTGGAGTATACGTGTAGATATCGTATACTTATATACACATACTGACATACAGTGACACACAAACCACAAACATAACACTATGCAATGTTTGCGTGTCTCATGACCACAAATTATCTAAATCATAAATTCATAATATACATCTTCTTTTGACGTAATTATTATTATTACCCTAACCAAATTGGTTAACCCAGCCTATATAGCATGAGTTCTTATTTCCTAGTTTTTTCGCCTATAAGAGTAAATATGATCTACAATGAGAAGTTAACAAATTATAAAAGTGTTAACTAAATTGCTAGATTGTTTCTTATTCAATAATTTCATTACGAAATAGTAGATTTGAAGTTTTCCCAAGACAGTTTAATACCATAAAGTTTTACCATCGCATAAATATTAATAGATTTATGATTAATACTTAAACCAAACATACTCTAATACATGGTGGATTAAGATGCTGATCGCGGCCAAATTTCGATTTCCATGTGGTACGCATGCATAATTTTTTGTTTTTCCTCTTCAAACTGGTACGCATAAGTTATATATGCTGATTTCACTAAAATTCAAGATTTCATGGTTAAATGATTTAAGAAAACTTGGTTAAGACTTATACTTTCATCTTACTGAAAACTAGAACTACGAGGACTCAATATTAAATAAGCGAAATTGGAAAATAAAAGTATAAGAAATGGCATCTTCACTTGGAAAAATATACTAATCAATTAGGAAAAAGTCCCATTTTTAGTGGCACTAGTGGATTTTGTCATTTTTTCGTGAAATATTTTAGATTTATCATTTTCTCGTATCTAAAACATATAATTTAATTTTACGTATTATGTTTGAGTTTTTTTGTTCCATTTTAGGATTTAGTGTTTGTTATTAAGTATGTATTTTATAAAAAAAAAAATAACAAATGTATAGTTTTTAAAATGACCAAAAATGGCAAATCCAAAAGATTTGGATGCTAAAACGGTACAATTAACAATAATCCAAACAAATACTATATTTTAGTAGATACTTTCATTATTCATCAAACGACATGATACTTTTTTTTCGGGTCATGCACATGTTACAACTTATACCTAACATAGTGTTGCCACTCGTTCATGCAACAAATTAATGAAATGAATCAATGATGATGTGAACTTTGTTATTATATTAACTCTTTCTTGTTTTATTTGAGGTTATATTTCTCTTCATGCATGTTTACTAAATATGTTCCTTCCACGGGTTGTTGGATATGCTATAGTATTAGCTAAATTATTGAAGGGAACACTCTTTTGGTTTTAGTCACTTTTCTGCAATGTTATAATTATAAAAAATAAACCAAAGCGATCCCTCACGTTTCAAATATTTAAGTCTGAAGGCTACGTTTATTGGTCTCTTCCTTATTTTTAGTCTTTCATATCCAATATCAACCGACAACCATAGTAAATAAGTAGAGCAAATCCATAAAAATATAATTATTCTTCCTCAAACTCTCAACTGATATTATATACGAATTCAGATTCAATTAAATCAAAATAGTCTGTTTCTGACCGTTGAACTAACTATGCTACAGTATTACTTTCTCTTTTATATAACAAGAAAAAACAATTGATTTTAATCTTATACTTTGACATGATAATATAATGATGTCTTTGTCTAACTAATTTATTTATGTCGCTCATATGTAACTGTTCTTTTAGATAAGTTTGTGAAATAACTACTATTCGTATGGATAGGGTACCACCACTAACCATTTTAATGTATAAAAGTATTATAATTTTTTTTCATTTTGATAAAACAATATTTATAATTTATTAAAATGGTTTGTTTTCGACTTTCACTAATCTATATATCTATGCTACAGTATCATCTAAAATATCCTTCATTAATCCCCGTTCTTGAGCATATTCGAATCCATGATGCTCAAGCTTGAACGAAACATTATAAATCTTAGAATATTCCATGTTGATCGTCATGAAAGAAAAATTAAAGAATTGAACATATTAAGGTAGAGTTTAAAATAGCAGCCTTCTTTTTTAGTGTTAGAATTTTAGTAGCAGACCCAACATTGATTTTTGTTTGGGCCACAATTGCTATCTACTACACTTCACTGGGCCAAAATAAATATTGCTCTCACTTTTGCATCTTTCTTTGTTGTTTTTGAATTTTATTGTTAGAATGGTTTCATTACAATTTATATAAGTTGCTTTTAAGTTTTTAATGTTATCTAGTATCATTTTACAATTTCTGATGTAAAAATTTTAGTAAAAATTTAACATTATTTGGTAAATTTGAGAAATAGGTTAAAGAAACCAAAAAATCAACTTTAACAAAGTTACAATGACGACGAATCTTTTGTTTGGAGTGTAACACAAGTACAAATCATACATATCTATACGTAATACCAAGACAAGAATTATTGCTGTGAAATAATATCAAGTATTTTAAGATAATTAAACCCGAAAAATCACAAAAGCCCCCAAATTCAAAGAGAAAGAATATAAAGATATAAAAAGCAGAACCAAACTGTTTTTTTCTTTTTATCTTATTGATACCATAATCTTTTCAAGCTCTAAGCAGTAGACCCCTTGAGCTTCTTGGTGATGGTGGCAATGTACTTGCCTTGGTGAAATGCTTGTTGTAGCTCCAGCTCTGTTGGCTGTCTCGAACCGTCTCCTGCAAATGTTCCAGCTCCATATGGGCTTCCACCTTTCACATTCTCCATTTCGAACATTCCCGCACCAAATGTGTAACCGATTGGGACAAACAACATCCCATGGTGAACCAGCTGAGTTATCGCCGTCAATCTATAGATTACAAAAAACGTTTTCAATAAGTAAATATAGAGGCAAGAGATGATGTGAAGTGTTAGTTCTTGATGAGAACTTACGCGGTGGTTTCTTGGCCACCACCTTGAGAGCCAGTGCTGTAGAAGATACCAGCTGGTTTACCGGCGAGTGACTGAGTCCTCCAGAGTCCACCGGTTGCATCCAAAAAGGCTTTGAACTGAGCAGCCATCATACCAAATCTTGTTGGGAAACCAAAGACAAACCCATCTGCTTCAGTTAGCTCGTTGGGGGTAATGATTGGGGATTCGCTTTTTGGTGGTGCGCTCATCTTAGAGAGTGCTTCTTCGTGAAGCGTCTCTGGTACCTGTGGACAACAAATTCATCAGGTTCAATAATTCACATGGATATCTATAGCAAAGGTAAATGGTAATGTGTGATTTGGAAATTCCTGTGCTAAGCAAACAGAGTCTAAAATGCAACACATGTTATTGTAAACGAATTGCAGCAAGAATGTCAAGAAATCCGAAATCTCGATAACCAGAGTCCAAAAAAGAAACCTGCCCTTTCAGCCAAATCAAATCAGTGAAGCAGAACAAGTAATGCCATATACCGAGTAAACAACGCAGACAAAAGTAATGAAGCTCTATTTGACTAGAAACTCGCAGAGCAAGTCAGCATTTAAGAATCCAAAATTAAGAAACTTGGAAATGGCAATGGCCCAAGAATTCTGCAAACTAATGTCAGAATGTCTAATCCTTTCTTCAAGATAACCAAACTACTTTATAGACTCAATCCTAGTATTAAAGACTTCATAGCCACTTATATCCATTAACATAGTTTCTTACTGAAACATAAAAAGCCAATTGACAATTGTGCTTATAAAAATTGACAATGCAACAAAAACAAAGTAGTAAGCAATATCACCTGCCATAGTTTAGCTTCAACACCTTCAACAGAAGCAGCTCCTTTCCTTATTTCTTCAGCCAATTTCTCCACATGACCATACATAGAGTAGTACCTGCAAATGTCAAAGAACTAAAGTCAAAATTGGAATCAAACCCACCAAGTAGCTAAACCAAAATCCATCAAAAATGACCCCAAATTCAATCTCATATTGACGAACATAAGTACCAAAGATCCAAAATTTAATCCAAAGACCAATCAAACAATCACAAAGTAAGTAAATTTACACAAATTAGGAATCAGCTCAATAAACCATGGAAAAATTCAACACTGATTAAGATCAAATCAAGTCACTGAAGTGAATCAGAGAGAAAATTCGATCTTAAATCTAAACCCATCGATTAGCTTCGAAAAAAATCGTAACTTTAATCACCAGAAAAGAGAAAAATGGAAACTTTGACCTACACGATATACACTTTAGTCGCCATCGAAGTGTTCTTCTATGAAGCTTAATACTTTAATGGGTTTAGAGAGAGAGAGAGAGAGAGAGAGAGAGAGAGAGATGTTCAACGATCCGAAAATGCAGAAAGCGTATTTATAGAGTGGAGTCGTGGAGAAGATGATCTGTGTTCTTTATCCTTTTTCCATTTAACTTCTTTTTTTTTTTCTTCTTCTTTCCATAAACTCTTGATTCTATCAAATTCAACCCCATGAGTATTTGGTCTACATAAATTTCACCCCATAGTTTATATTTAGGGAGACTCACAAAAATGCCCCTTTTTCAATACCCCTTTTTAAAAATGCCCCCTTTGGATGTCCATTTTTAAAAATACCCCTTTTATGTACAAAATGACTAAATTACCCTTCTTTTAATAAAAAATATCATAAATATATAAGGAAATATAACAAAATTAGGTCCACAAAATACAAAATATTTTTTGGCGGGAAAATTGCTCCCCCAATTTTTCCCGCCAAAACACTTGTAAAAATTTGTAAAACCTTTAAAATACCTTGTAAAATTTTCCCGTAAAATTTTTTCCCGCCAAAAAATTTTCCCGCCAAAAAATTTTTTTTGCGGGAAAAGTGATTCCGCAATTTTTTTGGCGTTAAATTTTTGGCGGGAAAATATTTCACGGCAAAAATTTACAAGGTATTTTAAAGGTTTTACACATGGTA